AGCCACACTGACCTGAGGTTCATTATATCTGACCTTTTCCCGCGTTTTGTTTATGGAATCTTGCCAGAAATTTTTTGTTTTTTAGACCTTCCATCCGTTGTAAAACTGTTCTGCCTGACTGTCTAAACGAAAATTAGACGAGGTATTAGGAATAAATTTTCACTACTGTGTTACATCTTAACACAGAAATAGCCTTTTTGCTCTTCCACACCTCCTATCATTTGGCTGACTTTGGTGGAGAAAGGAACTTAAAAGAATGACTAGTTGCTTTGTATACACGATGTCTTCAGTGATCATTTCCGGTCCGACTAATTTTGCTGTTATCACAAATCAAAACCCATTTAGCTCTTCCTTTCCTCTTGTTAGTTCACTAAGTTTAATGGAGAAAGGGACTTAAAAGAAAGTCGAAATGCTTTGTATAAGACGTCGGCTTCATTTATCATTTCCGCTTCTAAATCAAAAGCTCTTCAGCTCTTCCACACCTCCTGTCAGTTCATTAAGTTTAATGGGGAAAGGAACTTAAAAGGAAAAGACTAATTGCTTTGTATACACAATGTCTTCACTGATCATTTCCGGTCCGACTAATTTCGCTATTATCTCAAATAAAACCCTTTTATCCCTTCCACACCTAGTGTCAGTTCACGAAGTTTGGTGGAGAAAAGAACTTAAAAGAAAGACGAAATGCTTTGTATAAGACGACCACTTCAATTATCATTTCCGATTCTAAATCAAAAGCCTTTCAGCTCTTCTACACTTCCTGTCAGTTCGCTAAGTTTAACGGAGAAAGGAACTTAAAAGAAAAAGACTAATTGCTTTTTATACACGATGTCTTCACTGATCATTTCCGGCCCGTCCAATTTCGCTGTTATATTAAGTGAAAACCCTTTTTAGTCCATCCACACCTGTCAGTTGGATGAATTAAGTGGAGAATTAGACTTAAAAGAAAAAGACTAATTTCTTTGCATACGATGATCATTTCATGTAGATATTGATCATTAATCTTTAATTAAGACAGATTAATTTCCATCAAAAGACGTTACAGATTTTAGCTTTAGTATTGATTATGGTCATTAAGCAGGTTTAGTCCTTGTCGCATGAAGTTAAACTTTTTGTTAATTATTCATGACTTTTTAAAAATTCACATGTGAAAAATATTTAAAAATCACAAAGCTGTGTATTTTTTCTACGAGAGGCTAACAGAGAGTGAAACGATTTATTAACTAAGATCTTTTTTGTCGTTCGTAAATTTTATTTTACACGGATATATTTTGTTATTCTTCCCCACGTTTGTTTTTGAAGTTGGATAACAGACTGGATTTGCATAAAGTATTATTGAACAACTGGCATAAATTAATGCGTCAATTATCTTACTGTACTGTTGTTTATTTTTGAAGCCTATTGATTACCATTACACAGGCTTTCTCGGGCGTCATTCCCAATAACGTTACCACCCTTTACTCTAACTCTGTACGTTTAGCCCTTTATAAAGGGTACCTAAATATTTAACGCTAGTTGAAACCTGCTACTGAATTTTCTAACAGATCAATTGATTATTGGGAATATATAACATATAAATTTTGAATAGTACAGATATTTGATGTAAATCCTTGATTTGTTTGTTTAGTCTTTATAGAACAGTAATAGATCCACGTCTGTTTATAAGAAATAAATATCCTTACTGACCCCAAGCTATTAACTTTCCTGATTCCCGTGGTTCTAAATCAAGCAGAAGATCAGTGATGTGCGGATCTGACCTTCTTCCCGCAGTCATTTATATAAAACGCGCGCAGAGTTTACTGTATCGACTCTGTAAAGAAGATAAATTGATTTTAGCTCCACCGGGAACATTGAAACCATAAATGCCATACATTTTCAGAAAATGTATGAAATCCTGGAATTTCTATATTTTTCTTTAACCGAACTATTTCACTTCTTTCAAAGGAGGCATCATCTTGTTTATTCCTTCAACTAGTAAAATCCGGATTATTGATTCTCGACTTCGAAAAAACACGATGTACACATATTTTGCCCATATCAATGTTGATGAATTAATTATTACATCGTACAGTCATATAAAGTTTTTTAGTTGAGATAAAAAAGTCAGTGTCACGAGAGGGATTCGAACCCACGACCTTCGGCTAGATACTCCGCTACTATACAGGGTGAATTGCTACTCGTGCTACAAACTTCTCCAGTAGATTCTTCACCCTAAAATGAACAAAAAAGTTCATATTGTCCATGGTNGGTTGAGAATCGGACCATGGACAATATGAACTTTTTTGTTCATTTTAGGGTGAAGAATCTACTGGAGAAGTTTGTAGCACGAGTAGCAATTCACCCTGTATATACCTCTTGAGCTATCGTGACTTCGATCCTCTCGGACAGCAACTTCCCATCTCAACCCACCTTTCGAATTTTCCCGCCTTTTTGCCATTTTTCAAATGTCCTGAAATCTATTCAATTCTCGGCGACAAATAAAATGACCACGGAGAGCTTTAGTGGAGATATACTTAATTGTACTCATTAAATCCATCAGATTTCGTGGTCCCATTGACCAAATAACATCTTTCAATTAATTAATCTTTATGTAAAGGTATTGGTTGAAATGAAAAAGCTAGTGTCACGAGCGGGTTTCGAACCCACGACCTTCGGCTGGATACGCTGCTACTCTAACACTTGAGCTATCATGACTTCCATCCACTCGGACACTAACTCCCCCCTCAACCCCACCTTTATTTAATTTTCCCTCCTTTTTGCCATTTTTTAATTGTTCAAGCGGACCACGAAAACTAGTGAATGTCATATAAAGATTGGAACCACAGCAAACAACATTATTCTTTTTATTTTTATTGATTGGTATAGGTAAATTAGAATAGTTACGATTTGGAAAACAACTAACCGTATAACCCAGCTCTACTTCTACCAAAAATTGCAAACGTCTTGATTTAAAATTCATAAAAGTTATTTTACTATTATAAGCTGCTCAAAAATGGGTAGGGATATTTGTAATTTATTTTTATTCCATTAATTTTAACTAAATTAACTGATATATTCTTGCTAGTTTGATAAAATAAAATACAAACAAAAAACAAAAATATGAATGGCACTCTCAACACGTCACACAAGAATGGCACATCTACACAGAAAACAAACACTTTTAGCCCTGAAGATGATCTCAATAAAGGTCGAAACGTAATCACGACAAAGAAAATGTTTTTCTAAAACCTACGTCACATCAGACCGCATCTCACGATCTCCGAATAATCATTAACTAACGGTCACTAAATACCACACACAAAAAACAAAAAATTTGTTAATTCTCATTTTTAATTTACGGATTTACTTAGGAATAGTAAACATGAAGACATTTTGTAAACAAAAAAATTTTCCCGTCTTTTCTCCACTTTAATCCAGTTTTATTGTCTTTAACCATGGAAAGACATCATCTTGAACCAGAAGTTCGTAATATTATTGTTAGAATGAGCCATCGAGCGTGGTCTCTCGGGCTTTAGGAAGTGCCGATAGGAGGTCTGGTAGTGGATCTCAGCGCGATGCTAAGAGAGGACAGAAATATTGCCCTTGCTGCAAGAAGGAACCCTTTCCACAGTGCGGTCAGATCCTAAATGAAGGCCTGAAGTACTAAATGTTTTGGCAAGGCCTTTAACAACCAAAACGATTAAGTTGGCCTCACATCGTATGCCCCTTAGAGACGAACTGCAGCAACAGCCCGCCACCTGCAACTCAGGAGAACATGGTGCAGCGAGTGCCTAGAAGAGAACACCAATTGTTATTTCACTGCGTATTGTCGATGAGTTGCTTTTCTGTCTGTATAAGACAGCAGGTGCCGAAGAGTCTACCGAGAGCAGGGGATTGAGTATAATGCCCCAGTTCCTGTTCCCTTCGGTGCAGTTTGGAGGAGGACGCGTAATGGTCTGGGCTGAGATTTACACGAGGACAAACTGGGCTCCATATTGTTGAACCTCACCGCAGTCCGTTATGTCCAAAAAATTATCAAGGAATACATCCCTCAAAGCAGTGATTAGGAGGGATTTTCGATTTCTGAATGACAATGCCAGACCTAATAGAAGCCGAATTGTTCATCAATGTTTAGAAAACCTGAGAATTTCCCCTCTACCCCTTGCCACATTTTCTCCAGACCTCAATCCCGTTGCGTATATGTGGAATGGGTTATAGAAAATGGTTTGAGGTATTTATTCCTCGATAATTTCTTGGGCATAAGTAATTAAGAAGTTAAATTAATTAAATCATATTGAAACAGTTTATAATTGATTTATCTTATCATTTTGTTGATTTTTTTTCTATAGATACTTAAATTTAAGTTCTGCTGAAGGCCACATAGGTTGGAGAATAGTTTATCTAACTTTAAATAGTTGTCTGCAACTGGGTGAATTTTGGCTAATAAATAATTTATTTATTTTAAAAGAGTAGTCCTGATGATTGAAAATTACCAAACTACATCCCCTCAGACCTGGAGAAAAATTGTGCCATGTTCATTGTCTAACTTAGGGGCAAGGGAGGTTGTGGGTTTAGTTTTTGATATATGAACCAGTATTAGCAGAATTCAGAATGCAACACCTTGGCATCTGTTCTTTGACAGAAACAAAATTAAAAGAAATACTAAACACTAGACAGTTTGAATCTTGTAAATTATGCCCTCTCCACTCGGCATTATACATGTTATTTTTTTAATTATTACTATTTTGATGTTATACCATGGATGATAAAATCTTTTACACCATAATGCAATGTCGATTCAATATTTTAAATTAAATGTAGCATTATAATGATGGTAAATATTTTTGGTACATAATGTTGCTTTGTTGCTTTCTTTAGAATAGTTTTCTGCAGTATTCTTTTTATTAATTATTATTATTATACCAAAACTAAGTGTCACTCTCTGAATGATGGATATCCAAGCTTTATATGCTTTTGAATAGTATTTTTTTTTTATAATTTAAGTTAATATTTTTCGTTTACAGGGGTTCTTTAGGAGAAGTATACAAAAACAGATAGAATACAGGTGCCTAAGGGACGGAAAGTGCCTGGTGATACGACTGAACCGCAATCGGTGCCAGTACTGCCGGTTCAAGAAATGCCTTGCCGTCGGCATGTCTCGAGACTGTGAGTACACAAATTATGTTTTAGTTTTCACATTATCCATAGCCCATCCTCTATTATTTGTACCCTGAGTTTCAACATTCGATAAATCTGAAGAAAATTTGAATATTTATGTAGTGTACTGAATTTCAAAAAATCCGGCTTTACTGGATAGTGAGTGTAAAGTGCTGTTTAATAATGTTCTCATGAGAAAAAGCCCAACTTTGGTAGAAAGAGAGTTATATATAATGTTTATTAGCATTACATGTATGACATTAGATAACATTTGAGTATCAGAAACGGTGCCACTAAAGCATTGACAACATAGTTATAAAGGAGCTGGTTGTTGGATGCTCTTATTCTGGAAGCCTGAGAAAGTTGTGATTTGCTTAGTGTGTATAGGAGGCGAATTAGTGCCAACAAAGTGGTTAACCTTGGTCAAGGTTCAGACTTCTGGTGATAGTATTAAAAGGGTTAACGTCGTTGACTGTGATTCCACATGGCTAAATCCCTTGGTCCCAGCCCCTTGGTTTGTTGAGGATGAGCCAAGGTGTTGGTGACCAACGTTCGGCTCGATAAATTCATTGTCTTTCATTGGCCGAGATTTGCTTAGTGTGTATGTTCTTGTTGAGGGTAAGGCATTGAAGAAGAGATTAAACAAAATGGGGCCCAGGATTGATCCTTGGCGGATTCCTGGTATGATTTTGTAAGGAGCATGGAGACATTGTTATGCGACACACAAAAGTTTCTGTTTTTCAGGTACAAGTGGATATCTTTTAGTTGATAAACATGAAGTTATATTTTATTAGCCAGTGTATGTCTCCCTACTGCCAGACAGTATCAAGCCTTTTCATGATTTAATATATCTATCCCAGTGTACGCCATTATCCTGTCCACTACTCTGGTAAGTTGTACCGGAGAGCTGTCAGACCTGAATCCAAATTGTACCTCTTTCATTATTCCAGATTGAATGATATGACCTTCCAAGCGTGTTAGGAGCACACTCAAATATTTTGCTAATATTTCTTTATAGGCTAATTGGCCTGTTGTTTGATTGGGTGCCAAGGGGTTTCGCCACTTTCTTTTGCAATGTGACTTTTAAAGTCTAATATGAAATAGTAGGTAGTAGCAGTACTGATGAAAGTTTACAAATTCCAAGGCTACAAATAGTTTTATTATTTATTTACTGTTTATTTAAAAATATGTTGTTTTTTTCAGCTGTTCGGTATGGGAGGGTGCCGAAAAGATCACGGGAACGAAGCGGAGGAGAAGAAAGGGTGTCGACAAGTGACAGCAGTTCAGGGGCGACCCCGCCAGATCCGGAGACAACCTCGACTCCAGCCTATGACCTGATTGTGTCTGTATCGCAGGCGCATGTCGCCAACTCAGACTACTCGGAAGAGAACACAAGGTGCCTCGTTAGGAAGCCGATTGCCTCACCTGTAAGTATCGGACTTTTTCCTCAAAGAGTTGTCACTCCACAGCTAGGTCATTTCAGCCCCAAATGCATGCTGTCTATAATCTAGCCTAATACATAAATTTGATAGATCAGTTGCACAAATAAATACATTAATACTCATTCTTATTAGTCAGTGGAGTATTGGAGATTCCTTCATTAACTATACACAGTATTAATAATCTAACCTAAATTAGAGGTCTTTTTTAAATATTCTACCATCGACCTAAACACACCACTGCTGGCGGCATTGGTGACATATAGTAACTGAAAGAGGGAACCAGAAACCGACTGCTGTGCTCAAAAACCATTCTTAAATATGGCGGCACACCTACAAGCTGTCTGTAAGGAGCCAAGGGTCACGCCTCTATTATGTAGGGCACATCTAGCAACATTTATCTGCATAAGGGGGACCTGCATAGGCTTTCGCCCAAAAGCAGATGCCCGTGTGTCAATTGGGTATGCCCAATCCTCAATCGGGTGAGAGTGATTCCTCATTTCTGGTTAATATTTTCTGAGGGCATTTGCATTATTGAATTGCCGACCCACATTCAGAAGAACATTCAGCGTTTACGCTTATCTTCTATTTAAGTGGGGGAAGGCATGGTTACAAAATACAATAAACCAGAGAGATACGGTAAGCAGTGGTGACGTTTAACCAGTTTGAACAATCTCTACATTCGCTTGCTTTTCTCTAGCGATGAGAGAGTTGTCGGCGTAAGCGCCTTGCTACTTATTTTTGTATAAGGGAAGATAAGGCTCGAGAATTTAATAAATTCTCACCATTTATTTGAACATAATTCCACTTTTTACACAAGCACAACAAAATCTTAATTTATCTAATAAGTCAGCCACAACTCTAAATTTGGGAGCCAATCAACAAAGGCACTTATCCCAAACGAACTTTCCATGATCAGCATCCTCAGCATCTTCAGCGCCTTCTGGTATTTCGACTGTCAACTTGATTCGATGAGTCCCAATGGTTGGTCCTCGCTGGCTCTGAGTCCTCTGTTCGAGCCCCAGACAGAGTGTGGCTGCTGGCTTACAATAAATTCGTAAATATTTATTGTTACACTGGCCTATCTTTATTATACTAAATGACTGAAACAACCAAAGCAAGTCAGTCACAACTCTACCTCTGTGGATGAGCCTGGTCACAAGAGGATTTATCCCAAATTATGCTTGCCAACACCATCTTCCCCATCTCTCAGCGTATTCTTTGCACAGCATAGATATTCGATAGTCGACTCAGTTTGGCTTGTCACAATGGCTAGGTCCTTGTTGGCTGACTCCTCTCTCTGAGTTCCTGACCGAGTGTAGCTGCTTAATTGACTGCTCTGGACTGCACATTCGGTTGACTGAGACCTCAATTTTACAAGTCGTACCCTTAAGATGGCTCTGGACATGGTATTCATCAAATGGTTCGCCTAATCCCAACTAGTGGGGATGGTTGCTTAGTCATTTGCTGAGCAACAATATTCAGTGCTCACCATGCTGAACTCAAAGCATACACATATTTGGGAATCAACTATTCTGTATGGATATCAACCGCAATCATCAATCATCAATATCAACACTGCTATTTATTTTTTAATAATAAATGATTCCTAACTAGTATAGATGTATTAATAAAAGATCATTAGAGCATTATTTCTGTCGGGTAGGAATCGATGGGCCCATCATAACAGTCTTGGAGTTCCTCGATCTGTACCAATAATTTGTAACGCTTCTCTTCCAATTTACAAAAATTGAAACAAGGTTTTGGATGAATGAAACGGATCAAAAGTAAGATTAGACATCAGTACTCTGTGACTGAATTTGTAGCCACTACACAAAACAGTAACTGCAGTTGTAGCAATGACGTTTCACTGTTGTCCTTTACGATTTGGCAGTATCTTTGGCACTTGGCAAATACGCATTCGCTGTTTCCACACCAACTGGCTGGTTGTTCAAACCCTAGGCACGCTATTTGGAGAATGCCAAGACGATTATCTCGAGTCTTAGCAAATGGTCTACAGCAATCAACATTCAGCCACCTTTATATATATATATATATATATATATATATATGTTCTTAACTGGGTAGGGTAGAAAAGGAAAAGCAACAACTATTTGGCCAGGTGGTCAACTTCCTTCTTGCAAGGGTACTCATAAATCATGAGAGTTTCTGGTACATGAAATGTCGTGGTCTCAAGTTGATGTACTTTCATCAAAGATCTAGTCCCACAGCTGGATGAACTGTGTGTGCGACAACCGTCCCACACTAAATAACTCCTCAACTTTCATTATATAGTGGACTATTCATCTGTCATATTTCTATTTCTTCCAGACTTGTGGGAAACATCTACGTGGGCGACCCATTGGATTTATGGCCTTATTTCCAACATATGTTTGAAACTCCTTACAACTATTTTTAATACATTTTAACAACTAATTTATGCTAAGATGAGGACTGGCTTACAATTGATTAATTTTCCTTCTTCTTATTTCAAGCCTTCACCTATTTGCTCTGGTCCTGAAGTGGCTTCTTCCACCGCAGAAAGTCTTGAACAACAAAGGATATGGCTGTGGCAACAATTTGCAACACATATCACACCTAGTGTTCAGAGGGTAGTTGAATTTGCAAAAAGAGTACCAGGTAATTTTTTTTAAATATATGTACATAATAGTTTATTTTATTTTAACGTTAATTCTTCCGCCTTATTTTAACCTTGTCAATACTTTTCCAGGCTTCTGTGAGTTGAGTCAAGATGACCAACTAATCCTGATCAAAGTCGGCTTCTTTGAGCTTTGGCTTTCCCATGCGGCTCGCCTGACAACTGACACAACAGTAACATTCTCTGATGGCACTTTCGTCACTCGGCAGCAAATGGAACTTATGTATGATGTAAGTCCAACTCAGGTACATACAAACTTACTACTAATATCTATGTTTTTTCCTTTATACTTCATGCTTTTTATTTTTATTTTAATTTTAACAAGTTATAAATTGTAATTTTGCGCTTGTTTATAATTTAACTGTTATGGTTTGTGTTATTTTATTTTTTTTTAACATTCTAGTCTGAATTTGTCACATCAATGTTCGAATTCACTTCAAGCTTTAACTCTCTTCTGCTTGGAGATACAGAACTTGGTCTGTTTTCCTCGATTGTGCTGTTATCACCTGACAGGCCTGGTGTGACTGATGTAAAAGCCGTCGAACACCATCAGGACAGGTTGATCGAAGCACTAAAACTCCATGTAAGTTAAAATATATTATAATAATAATGAAATATTTTTTCTATTTTTTTAAGAATCAAATTACATACTTGATTACTGCTCTCTGGCCATGGGAATACCACAGGGCAGTGTGTTTGGCAAAACCATTTATACCACAGATGTCTTAACTATTCTTCCTCTATGGCACAGTATTGTCCTCTGACCTCCCTGAATGAAAATTAACTCCTTTAACCTTCTCACAGATTATTAGTTTGGCTTTCGATCTTAGCATTCCATAATCCAGTCAGTCGGATGTGGATTTGGATTTATGTAAACTCAAATCCGCATATGTATGTTCATATATACAAACATGTACCAAGTTGAGCCTATTTGATTCTTGTTGTCCACTGGCAATTCCAGCTCTTGCTATTTACAATCAATTGTCAGCAGACTCGAGAATCACCCACCACGGGTATTGGCAGTCCGAGGGCAGAACCCGCCTACTCCGTCCAGCCACTGAAGATGGTCTCAGAGGGTCTGTCAACAGCTAGATCAATTCAGTACCCAATGTATGCAGTTCCAAACGCATTCGTACTCACGTTCACTCTTAAATATTCCTACATTCACTTTTATTTACATGCCATTCATTCAATCAGGGTGATGGAGTACTCGATATTCCTCCATCACCCTTTACATACATTATACAGCTAACCTAATTGAGGGTCGATTCCGCCATCTACCCTCTCACATCACACTTCACCTTAATAAATTCATTCACTCTCAACACAACTTTACACATATTATACAACTAACCTAATTGAGGATCGAAAGGGTTCTCGATATTCCACAGTCTATCCTCTCACATCACGCACATGCTAATAAATACATTCTCTATCCAACACAAGTTAATTTGGTTTCAACAAGTGTGCTTTTATTTGTTTTATTTTACCGCTTCCTATATCCTTTCCTTTTAATTTATTGGTCCACCTCTGATTTCTTTCCTATCCCCGAGTTTTGGAAGTGTCGTACCCTTATTTGTTGTGGCGTTGAAAGACCAATGTCACAATGGTGTACTCGATATTCCGCCATCGACCCACTCACATCACATTAACGCTAATAAATACATTCACTCTCAACACAAACTGGGTGTACCCAACTATTATTATTTTATACAATAGAACAACCCCTTTCCTCCAAGAATCGGATCAGGGGACTCAAATACTCGCTGCCATGCTCCAGCGCAATCTCAAATTGGATGTCATTCCTACGCGCTCTTTATATTGAGCCAAGAAATTGCACCCTTAAATTAAGTGTGACACAATGAGCAATCTTTACCTACATGCAGGACACAACAGCTTTGGCCCAAAAGTAAGGGCCTGTGTGTCGATCGGATGAGGATGACCTTTCTTCTATGAGTCAGATACTCCGAGGGCCACCCATCAACTGTGTTCTTGACATGTGAGAGCTGCTCTGTCAATCTGGCCCGTTGATGGTGCTACCTTCTTTTAATCATGTTGTTTTATTGCATTCTAAGCTTTAGAGGGCAGGATTGTGTGGGTTTAGTCTGAAGGTTAAATAATAAAAAAATAGTAATATGTATATTTATCCTCAAATTACACGTCGTTGCAAAATTTTTTCCTAAATCGAAATTTTTGCTTACAGTTAAGAAGGAGTACAAACGGCACAGATTCGTCAAGCGTACTGGCGAAGCTGCCTGAATTGCGGGCCCTCGGGGCCAAGCATGCCCTCATGCTCGAATGGTTTAGGCTAAATTGGGACAAGTTGCGTCTCCCCCCTCTCTTCGCTGAGATCTTCGACATACCGAAGTCAGAGGAAGACCTGCAGTGAAACTAAATGGTAAGTGCGGAGTGGAACTTTTTCAAATTGCAAATGGGCGAACTGCTATAAAATAACAACGACCGTCAATCTGTTTCAGATGATCCCTATCTTTAACCCCTCTCTTCTTCTTGCTCAAGCGTGTTTGTGTGAATGTACAGTGCTTTATGCACTCATAGATACATATCAATCTACCAGAAAAAACATTAGATTTAAAAAAATTAAAATTCCAATATATAATTCAATTTTTATTAAAAAATATTTCTTTCCCTTTTTTCTGTCCCTTTAACCAAATTTTTGTACATACTTGTAATATTCAAATTAGGACAAGATTAAAGAAAAGAATATGTTATTATACTTTGTTGTTGTTATTACATAAATATATATAAGTTATATTATTATATATTTAATTTTTTTGTATTTATAAATTTATCTTTTCAGAGAATTTCATGACCAATAATTCATATCAGACAGTTTTTTCTCGGAAATTTTGTAATACAAAATTAAACAAATGTAATTGATTGTGAATCATCACATTATGTGTTCATTCTGAGCAATTATACTTTCTGTCTTTGCTTTCTCTTTTGGTTATTAAATTAAGTTAGGGTTGAAAAAAAACTTTTTTTTTGTTAAACCTTGCACAATTTAAGGTGCTGCTCACGTTTTAGGTTGTGATCGAGAATGGAACAATCAGAGATCGATTTTGTGCTCTCTCCCTTCTTTCTCTTTCTACTAAATCTATTAATCATGTATTTTGAATTAATTGTGTCTTTTTAAAATTTTCACAATTCTTGAATAAAACGGTCTCTGCTTTAATGTTTAGGTGTTAGACAAGATCTCCTATTTTTTATTAACTTGTTCTTTCTTTAAAGGAAAATGTTTTTATTCGAAATTGTTGTTTTTTAGACTTTTACCTTAATGCGCTTTCAAAGTGAGGTCAAAACGTCCAATTCAACCGCCAACTATATTTTAGGATAATTTTTTTGTGGAGTAAAACGTTTAATGTTTCCATTGTGATATATTTAACATCACTGTATTTGTACAAGAGCTTGTTCGAAAAACTACTACTATTAAAGCAAGTCGTGCACGAAACTAAATCCTTTTATACAATCGTAAGTTTGGAAGTAAATTAAAAAATTATATCCACAAAGATACATTTAAAAAGTATTAATAAAATTAAATATCAATTAAAATGTTTTTTTTTTTTAATAAGTTATAATATATAACTGCCATAAAATTGTCCTAAGACAAAAGGAAATAATTTTCTGTTTACACAAACATAAAAATAAATCTGACTATACAGGAACTAAATATTAACCTAGTTAAGCAATCATTTTGTTAATTATACTTGAATAACAACTTTCACATTTATTTGTTTATGCCTTTTTTTATGTACTTAAAAATTGTTGCATTCTGTTTTCTTAAAGTGCAGTCCAAAGAAGAAAGTTTTAGATTAATTAATGTTATTGTTGTTACTCTTCAAAGAAAACAGGGTTTTTATGTAGTCTGAATAAATTAAATAAGATAATTTCTAAAGATATTTTTTGACATTGTGTTATAAAAAGTAATATTAATATTATGAAAAAAAGAGTATGAAAATCTAACACCAACATAATCATGTTTTAAAAATTGGGTCTTAACTTAAAAAAAATTTAATGTATAAAAGGATTTTGTTGCGAGTTTTTTAAACAAACTCTGTAAAATGTAAGTGAAAAAAAAAAAACATTCCTTTAGTATTTTCAATCACTATTTAGTATAATAATTCCAATACAATCATAACATGTGTGATGGCATTCCAGTACTTAAAAAAAGAAGAGTACTTAGGCGAAAGGAAACCTTTTTGGCAATATATCTGATTGTTGGGAGCTTAAATAAAAACGGCTCTGATTTTTTTCTAGTGATATTCGAAAAAATACAATCATTTTACGTCGGTGTCAAAGTGTATTTTTCACTCTCATTGGAAAAAATACGTTATCTAATTTTAGATTGTTCAATCTAATGGCGCGCACGTGTTTCGTTGGGTATACTGAAATTAAAATAGTATATGTTGTCAGATCAGTATTAAGAAAGGCACGGTACACAAGCGAAACGATTAATAGAAATGTTGCACGAATCACGCGGCACTTAGGTTTATGTAAATACTGTAAATGTGACACAAGGTGAAGAAAGTGTTGGACGCCACTTGTTTCTTGAGCGTTTCTAACAATTTTTTTAAAAATATTATTAATTTATTTCTTATAATCCGTGGATGTGCCAAAATTTTTTTAAAAATGCACTTAAAAATACTTTTTGCAATAAAAATGAGATTTACAATCAAAACACCTGACAATTCGATAATTACTCTTTTATTGATGTTAAAAAGACTTTTTAGATGTCATCTACTTTTGAATGTGATTTAATATTAGTGTCTTTTCTGAAAATTATGAATCAAACCCTGTATTTGTGTATTTTCTCACTTTACTATTTGAGTGTTCACTTCGATTTTTAATGTAAAAATGTTAGTTTTGCAATAAGACGAAGATAATTCTGAAAATTGTAGATAACCAATAGTACAAAAGAAAACACAATCAATGAAATATGTATGTTAAAAAAATATGACAAAATGATATTAAAACCTGTTCATTTAGAAGAAAAAAACTGTATCTTTCAATTTTGTATACTACATGAAATGAAAATGTTTTTAAAAATCGGACTTTATAACAATAAGATTTGTATTGGATTATACACAAAGTGACTTTTGTTTGTCGGTTTAATCATAAGTGAATGTATGACTGTACAAATTAGGTATATTGTTGCTTAAAAAGTATATTATTTTTAATTTTTATTTCTTAGTTGTATTTTTGTTATTTTTTAATTTTGTATCATTTGTATATGCTTATATAACAGATGCCTTCGTTATATGTATTAAGTATTTAAATCTGACTTACTAGGGTTACTAGTACTAAAAATTTCCACTGCCTCATTGAAAGTCCTTTGTTTCTAATAATAGCAATGTGTTAAAAAATAAAATGAAAAGAAAAAAAGGTAATGTTTTATACTTGTAAAAATGTATTTTAGACGATGTTGATTGTTTCATTTTAAAAAAAAAATATTTTACGCCTTGTACTTGTTTCTGTACTATTCGTTAGTTTATTTTGGTTTGCTATTTGATAAAAAGGTGAATATATTTTAATTTGACACTCACAAAACAATAATGGGAATAACTCAAAATAATTGACAATGAGCTTAAAACACAATATCACACATTAAGGCACATGTATAGTAAAAGTTGGTTATGCACACTTCAAACTAAATGTTACAGGCCTAATATTATTCAGAACAGTTTTTGCTTCTTTCACTATATTCCTTCTTTAAATGGTGTAATTTTTATTATAGGTTAAGTGGCATAAGGCTTTAAAAAAAGTTATATCCAATATTTATTAGTTTTCTTATTGTATTTAAAAGAAAAGTTTATTGTATGACATTTTCATATTTAATTTTTTATTATTTAAATTTATGAAACTGTCATATTTTTGTTATGTTATTACATTTTTCTTTTTGTTTATTGAAATTCTATTTAGTTCAATTCTAGACAAAGTTTATATTATAGCAGATTTTTTGATGTTTGTATATAATTTTTATTTTTATTTTATACGCACTTCCTGTTGATTTTTCTTTTTTAATAAGGTGTTGTAATTTATATGATTTCTAGAAAGATATTGCCAGAATAAATGGGGCTGGTTACATAATAATTGTACTTAATTATTTTCCAAACGTTCTGATTAAATGCTAACAAAGTTGTTATATTTGTAAAACCGTTATGAAATTGTTATTTGTAAGCCAATGAAGGTCAAGCCATCAATGAAGGTAAGAATTTGACAACTATATGATTCGATTAAAGCTGTGGCTCCCTACAAAAGAAGCCAAAAGATAAAACATGAACATGATGAAACATTACGACATAAAACCCAAAACTGTTAGTGTGGCACAATGTCAATAGGGCAAAATTAGAGTGATTTTTCATATTAAGTGGACTTTCTGATTCTATATTTTAAAACGTTTATTCAAATTTTCTTTAATATATTTTAATATGGGAGACCCTTGAGTGGACTTATAAGAGTAATGAAATATCAAAAATCTAACAAAACTTAGAAAAGAATGCTTTTTTTCCGAAATTCAGAATTTGAACCCCCTGTTGAGTCGAGAGTTGCGAGTTAGCGACTTTGGCCTTTTGCTACTTCAAATTGATTCCCAGTAGCAATTTACATAAAAATTAGTCAAAATATCCACAAACAAATTATGCAACTACGGAAATATCAAAAGTGTAAAAAAACATTTGAAAAGTATATTTTTTTATCGATTTATCCAAATTGAAGCCTCGGTTGAGACGAGAGTTGCGAGTTAGCGACTTTGCCCTGTTGCTACTTCAAATTGATTCCCTGTATCAATCTTCATCAAATTTGGTCAAAATATCCACAAAAACTTTATAAAACGAAGGAAATATCAAACATCTAAAAAAAAACATTTTAAAAGTATATTTTTTATCGATTTATCCAAATTGAAGCCTCGGTTGAGTTGAGAGTTGCGAGTTAGCGACTTTGGCCTTTTGCTACTTCAAATTGATTCCCTGTAGCAATTTACATAAAAATTGGTCAAAATATCCACAAACAATTTATGCAACTACGGAAATATCAAAAGTCTAAAAAAACATTTGAAAAGTATATTTTTTTATCGATTTATCCAAATTGAAGCCTCGGTTGAAACGAGAGTTGCGAGTTAGCGACTTTGGCCTGTTGCTACTTCAAATTGATTCCCTCTATCAATCTTCATAAAATTTGGTCAAAATATCCACAAAAACTTTATGAAACAAACGAAATATCAAAAGTCTAAAAAACATTTGAAAAGTATCTTTTTTTCGATTTAACCAAATTGAAACCTCGGTTGAGACGAGAGTTGCGACTTAGCGACTTTGGCCTGTTGCTACTTCAAATTGATTCCCTGTATCAATCTACATAAAATTTGGTCAAAATATCAACAAACAATTTATGCAACTACAGATATATCAAAAGTCTAAAAAAACATTTGAAAAGTTTTTTTTTTCGATTTATCCAAATTGAAGCCTCCGGTGAGTCAAGAGTTGCGAGGTAGCGACTTTGGCCTGTTGCTACATCAAATTGATTTCGTGTATAATCTTCATAAAATTTGGTCAAAATATCCAGAAAAACTGTATGAAACTAAGGAAATATCAAAAGTCTAAAAATACATTTGGAGTGTATCAGTTTTTCGATTTATAGAAATTGAACCCTCGGTTAAGTTGAGAGATACGAGTAAGCGACTTTGG